TTTAATAGGCTGCTGTAATTTTAAGACCTAATGCACTGATCCAATATACTGTTACACATGCGTTTTCTTTCTCAACTGTTTACGTCCACTTAAGACATAATAGACTGTGTTTACGAGGATATTTTGTCATAATTTTGTTTCTGTCTGTTCAAGCACAAGAAGACCCGAATTGAGTTATCTTTCACGTCTTCTTTGGCTTGAATGGTTTAAAACCACATTAAAATGCACACACTGGAATAGATAAGTGGAATCGACATTTTTATTTTATAAAAAGTATCCGATTCCTGACCTTAATTATTCGATTCCAGAACTGGATTCCCAACTTTATTGGTAGCTCTCTAAAAATGCTTTGGCTCAACCAATCAAAATGAACACAACAGCTTGCGTTAATCTTTTTGAGTTATGACAACTCAACCAACAAAGTACACAAAGTAAGAGGAACTTAATTTTAGCAAAAACTAATTTTTTATAAAAAAAAATATTAAATATCCAAATGACTATACTAATATGACTATACTAATAATTATATTTTTATTATGATTATTATTACTAAATAAAAATATTAAACAAAACAATACATTATTAATATTTTATATTAATTGTATTTTATAAACATCTAGTATTTGACAATAATATTAATACAAATATAAACATCTAGTATTTAACAATAATAATAATAATATTTTTATTTTATTTTACAGTAAAACTATAAAATTACATTAATTTCATACGTTTAACCATCAAGCTCTCAATGGTTCTCTTTTGTTGACAACAGTCAAATTATAAAAACTTTTCATTACACATTTGTGAAGATGGTTGGCACATGTTTCGTTCCCAAATTGCATGTTACAAACTCAAACTGCAAATCATAACAATCAATAATAAAAGGTCATTCACATAATAGAAATCTTAGAAAAATCCAGCCTGTTGATGGAAAATGTTCTTCTAAAATAATAAATAAAAAAACAAATTTGCCACATGAGAATAGAATATGTCCTTTAATTTTAAAATAATAGTCAATATATGCAAAACACTCTCTTTATTTCCATAGAGATACTATAGTTTTTATTATGTTTAATTAATTTTATGTTTAAAGTTTCAGTAATTTTGTTGTATGTTTTTGACATTTTTATTAGTTTGTTATTTTTTTAAATGTCTGTAGTTTTTATTCATTTTAATCTCAATTTATTTTAGAACATCAAGTTAAACCAAATGAAAATAATAAATGTACCCTTGGCAACTAGCTGAAGTAAAATAAGTTAAATAAAATATGTTCAGCTAGTTCATTTTATTAGTGATGAATAAAAAAAAAATCAGTTTTGGTTCTAGGTTTAAGTTATCACACTGGTAATAACACTGGTAGAAAGAGACAATTAAAAGGCTACACAAAATAAATACATTAAATAATAAAATAATTTTTATTTTATTTTATTCATATGCAAGTAATGCAACCAAGCCACTCTGAGATGCTGAGAACAAGAGCTGATTGTGTACAGCTATATACACTCTGAAACATTTAATCAAATTGCAGCCTTTGCGATTTTAATCATGCTAAGCCATGTCGCGATTTCCGTATTTCGATTAATCGTGCAGACCTAATCTCTACTTTGTTAGACAAATGATTGCATTTTAGTGAAGTGAGGTTGAATTTGAATAGAATACGCTGTAGCAGGGACAGCACCGCCATGCAAACTGACTCCAGCCACATTCCTGTGGTCAACCAGAGAATATGGTTTTAGATGGGTATGTTTGTATGAGTGCGTGTGGAGAAAACCCTGTTTGTGTTGGACGGATGGTTGTTCAGAGGGCTGGTAAAGGGTACAGGCTTCATTGCACTGGCCCACCTCCCTCCATCTCTCCCTCCGGTGTCCTTCCCACCTGCATATTATTAGACTGCCGTGCTGGGCAGACGATCAAGGCGGGAAAATAGTCTCAAAATGGAGGCCCGGGAGGGAGGGATCGCACAAGAACGGTGTTTTGGGAATGTGAGCACAGAGGTTGGACTGTACCATTTGTTCTATGACAGACTGTGTATCTTCAGTATAGACTAGTTACTCATTATAATAAGCTTGAGAAGTTTGTTCAAGAGTGTAGTTATGTTTTTTAAAATCAAGTATTAAATCACCCTAGCATTTCTGTGTGGAAGGTTGATCGGCTCATTTGCGTCTCGTTGTTATAAGAGCTTGTCAACTGACAGGTAATTATAGTTAGATAGAAAATCAGAGGGTCTGGTGCCTCTGTCTCTGTCTTTAGTGACGCCCACACCATCTCTCAAATTAGTGTTACACAAGTTAAGTACATTAGGATCTGTTTATAGACACTCCTTGTGTGACTGTTCTTTTATTTTTCTCAAAAATACAGAATAAAATCTGTTTCATTTAATTTTTTTAAATTATTATTATTTGGGATGGTGCAAACCTTGTGACTGTTCCTTTATATAAAGAGGACAGCAATCATTTCAAATGTGTCGCCTGTTCGGTCTCAACAATATCTCATATTTTGCTGAGACTTTTCAAAATAGTCCACAATCAGTGATCTGATCTCACATTAAATTTTCCAAAAAGGACAAATCTGAGAGAATGAATTTTTATAACGCTATTTTTAAGTTTCTATTCTTTTACTGTGAGAACTCAAATGAGGCAGTTGTGGAAATTGTTTTTGTTTATTTATGTACTTTGTATTATCTTTTGCACATGTTTTCGACATTGCACTCATGTGGCATTTAGTTTCATTTATTTATTTTTAAATAATATTTTATAATGTTAGTTAATGCTTCTTCCACCAAAACAAACTTTTGTTTTACATGACCATTTTTCTATAACACCTCTATGTATAAATGACCTGTTATGATTGGATGTTATGATTCGTCTTGGTATATAAAATAAGCAGCATCCCCAAATATGCTGAATAGTGTGGGCTCTCATATAATAAAGGACATTTGCTTTTTGACCGTATATTTAAAAAAAGGAATAATAATAAAGGAACAAGACAAGGAAATTCCTATTTTCCATAATACCTCCCTTTTAAATCACACTCCCTTCACATGTTGTGCAGTCACCTTATATAAAATATAAGCAGAGAAGTGACCTGCTGTGGTGGTTAATAATGGCTCAAGCCAAAGCTTGTGGTTTGGGGATCATCATAAAGACTAATGTACTTGGGCTGGACTGAGTTCTTTGCTGTATCGGGCCACAGGAAGCGGATTTCCTCATGGTCTGATGCCTCTCTGTGACCTTATGTGTTTTCCAATAGCAGTAATCAGACATATGCTGTTAGCTATTACCCTAATGCTTCTTCCATTATGAGATTGAGACCCGCTTGGCTCACGGGTTTTATTTTTATTTAACCTTTATGTAAGGAGGTTAGACAAGCTGAGATTTAAAGCATTTGGACAAGACATACTGTACCTGGCCAAGACCACCAATGGCACAAAAAGTTTGAGAGTCTTTGAATGCAAATTGAATACGTTATCCTATTTACCCCAGCTTAAATTAACAAATAAAAGGTTGAACTACAAGTCTTCCTGCAAAAAACTACTGCTCTGTACTAGTTTCAGATTTATTGAAAGTGCATGATTGGTTGATTGTTACCACTTTAAGGTGCAGTAACAACAGACACTTGGAGAGCACTTGGCCCTCACGACTGACCTGGATAACGTGAAACCCAATCTGCACCGTGCCAGTTTAACACACAGCAGGTCACAAGACATCTAGACCGACATCTCCATCATCAGTGATTGAGCCTATTGTTACTCAATTTAAAAGGAAAAATATAAAATACACATTTTCCAAATGCTATTTTGCTCACCTCTTCTGTTTTGCCATACTTCTGCTGCTGTCAAGAGCGACCTGTTCTTCAATAGCAATAACTGGTCTGCCCTGCAGGCCTCATTAGATAACCCAGAGAGCAAGTTTTTGTCATCCAGTCTTTTACCCAGCATGTCAACTGAAGTGCAACCAAGTGATGTGACTTTGGAAATATTCCATATTTTTTGTTTCATAGTGCCGTTTGTGAAGTTCCTGCAATTGCTGGGCAAAATATCATGCAAATATGTGCGTAATGCGCATAACCACTAACCAGAATGTTATTATGAGATTGGCAAACAAGTTACTTCAAAAGGAAAGCTGTTTTGGTTTTGGTTTTTGCTTTTTGGTTTTGTGTTTTGCTTTTGGTTTTGTTTTTACTTTTTACTTTGTTTATTGCTTTTTTGTTTTGTTTTTGCTTTTTGTTTTGTTTATTGCTTTTGGTTTTTGTTTTGTTTTTTGTTTTTGTTTATTGCTTTTGCGGCTTTGTTTTTGCTTTTTGTTTTGTTTATTGCTTTTTGTTTTTGTTTTGTTTTATTTTGAAAGGTTCTGCATTTATTTTGATTATTTGATTATTATTATTTTTTTTTTTTTGCTTTTGTTGTTTGCTTTTTATTTGTATTTTATATATTTTATTGACATCATACACATGTTTGCATAGCAACTATAAAGCGTTCACCTGATGTAACACTCGCAACTGACTCGATTAAAAAAAAAAGAAGGATTTAAGACCCACTGCCATCAGCTTAACCATGTCTTCCTCACATAATCAGCATTTACAATGTCCGATTTGTGGGAGCTTTTAATGCTGGTTGTGTAAGTGTACTTGAGATATATTGCTGTGCACGATGACGTGCAGTTGTATTCATGGAATGCAATCGCAGAACAGCAGGCGTGCAAGCGCAGGGGGCAAAGGTGACAGAGTCGTCCATGGAGACGCGTTCTGTGTACCATAATACACAAAAGGAGCTGTTTGCACACTTGTTCGGTCATGTGTGCTTTACACAGTAACCAATAAGCAAACTCCAACAGACCGTTGTTTTTTCACTGTTACGACCTCCTTCGTGAATGTGCGCTGTATGCGAGGCCGACGGGTTTTAAGTTACAGGGCAGGGAAGGTAAAGCCCCAGATGTTTTGAACAGTTTGTACATTGGAGTGACCAACGCGTGGTCTGTGTGTGTTTTTCTCTGTCACAGTCTCCCAGTCCAACAGCAGTTTAAAGAAACACAGGAACAGAAGTATCTTTAGTCCCTTCTTCTGCTGTTTCCGGGACTATAATGCAGAACCACCAGCCACCAACAACAAGACCTGCTCCCTCCCTCCACCTGCCGAGGAGAACAGCAGCCCTGCAAAGGTGAGGTCTCATGTATTTCTCTAACGGCACTTTTAATGGCGTGAAAATCTTCGGCACTGGATGCATGAAATTGGACAGTTTAGTTTACACTGCGTTTGAATTGCTAATGTTGTGTCAGCTCAGAATAACGTCTGTTTATTAGCAAACTTTGCTCATTTTCTCTCGGTTTAGCTGAGTTTTTTTTTTTTTTTCTTGTTTGTGAGCTGCGCCCGAATGCAGGCTCTGTGCACGCTGTTCCCGTGTCCATACCACAAAGTTTTCCAGCTGTTCCGAACTCGGTGAACTCGCTGTGATGTTTACCATCCAGTTCTAGAAATGATGGGCCTGCTTCCCCACACACACATTCTTCAGTTTACACACACACTCTCTCTCTCTCTCTCTCTCTCTCTCTCTCTCTCTCACTCACACACACACACACACACACACACACATTCCTGAACTGGTTCTTTAATTCCATTAAAATGTGTCTTTTGTGATTGATTACTTGCCGCCCAGTTTGTTCCTTCCCCTCTTTTTCTTTCTTTTTCTTTCTCTTCTTTTGCCATTCGCTATGTACTCTTAAGGGGGAATACACTAAGAATGCATTGCGCATGCTGAAAATGTTGTTTATTTGCACGTTGTTTGCGCTGTTTTCAGTTTTATAAAGTAATTTTTCAAAGCAGATCACAACGAAGGAAAGTAAAAAGCTCAAATGAGATCTCTTTAATATCTCAGTTGTTTCTCCTATTGGGAACGGAATCACATTGAGAGAAAACTGAGACTTTTGCTAAAGACTAGCCAAATGTATTATAACATTGATTTTAAATGTTGTATTGGTGAAATAAAAAAACAAACAAATTTTAATTGTAGAAGAAAAATCTGAGACATAATCGATACTTGAAGGAAACAACCAAGAACTCCAATAAATCTTAAATAAAACTTTAGTCTGGGATGGTGCAAATATATCATGTACTGACATATGATCCCTGTGTGACTGTTCTTTTACAATAAAGGGGTTTTGTTTTATTTTGTTTTGTTTTATTTTGTTTTGCACTAGCACACCCCTAATGAAGACTCTAGTCCATCAGTAGGCTAATAAAAGCTGTTTTATTTTATTTCACATGGAGCAGACCACCTCATGGGCGCCGCCATATTGAGATCACGTATTGTGCCGATTGTTGAGTGTATTTACCCCTCACTCTATTTCTTGTTCTTTTTCTTTCTATCTTTTGCACACATCCAAACACACACACACACACAAACGCTGGGCAGTGTACCGTGTGAAATGACCTCACTGGTGAAACTTTAAGCCTCGGCTCTCCACAAACACTCATGTGTGCTGCCAAAGCAGGTACAGGCAGCTATAAATGGATCTGAATCAGATCGCGTTACTGCGAATGTTTGCTTGTAAATGACTCGCGATCTGCTGAGAAATGTCCTGCCATTTTACATGCATGCACTCTAAGCTGCTCTGTTTTAGACCCACAGATACTTTAAATGAAACCCATGTGTTTCCCAGCCCTCACAGAGAGAATCCTGACAAGATTACACTGTGAACAAGGATGTGATTTTTGTCAGCATGCCTGTGTGTGTCTTAGTCATGTAATAACAATGTACAACTGTTCGTAATCTGTTGCGTTGTTTGCTTTTACAGTGTTGTGTTTGTTGTGCATTTTTTTGTTGCTTTTTTTGATTATTCTCTTTCTCCTGTTTTGTTTTTTCCCTCTGTCTTTCTTTTTTTTCTTTTTCTCTCTGTCTGGTTTTATTTTTCAGTGTGATCAGGTTCAGGTCATCCCTATTCCCAGTGTATGTATTATCTTTTTTTTTTGGTGCATGCTTATGCATATATTTTCTTTATTGAGAGAAACCTGCCTGGCTTTGTTTTTCTGGAGTGCGTTTCGCACCTTTACTTGATTACATAAAAAAATAAAAAGCAGCATCTTGGAAAACAGCCACATATTGTGCATAAATGTAATGTTTTTTCATCAAAATATAATAACTGTGCCAAAACCAAAAACCAAAGCAGCAAGTGTGAGGAAAAATATTAACCATTAATATCAAAACATCATAGCCTAACATATCACATCAAATCCCCCAAACTGCCCTTTATTATTTCTAATTGTATTTCACTCAAAATACAGAATTTGAATACTTCAGATGAAAATTAGCCAATTTAGCTAAATCCTGGTGCATTTCACATATTTTATGTATTATCAATGTGTATTGTCCCTGAAACAAACAAACAAACAAACAAATAAATAGTTTACCTAAAAAGGAAAAATCTGTCATCATTTACTTATGTCATTCCAAACCTGTTCTTTCTTCTGACATTTTTCAACAGTTTCTTTGTCCATACAATGAAAGTCAGTCGTACTAAACAACAGTGATAAGCTTACATTAATGTATATGGACTTTCCCCCCCCCCATTCAAAATATCTTCCTCCGTGTTCCACAGAAGAGTCATTTCATGTTGTTCTTTACCCATTTATACTGTCATAATATTGCTGATAGCAATTACCGGTAGCTGTACTCGAGGACAACAGCAGTCTCAGAAAGTCAAATCCATCCCACACTGCACCTGCTATAGAGGAAGAGCGTGCGGAGAGGTTTGCAGATCTGAGCCAGGCCTTCATGCTGGGCCAGAGATAGGGGAGACCCAAATCCTGACACACACTTCACCTACCTCTGCCTGCTCAGCAAAAACCCAGCATCCACGCTGAGAACATGCTGGCAGGAGGTTTAATTCTCACAGTAATTGTAATCAAACCATGGGTGTTTTCGAAGATCAGAGCTGGGAATGTCTCACTGCCTGTTTCCAGATCCTCCCGCTCTGACTGGCTGACAATAATGAGTTTCATATTTCCAACTGCATGATGTCAAACATCTTCTCATTACACAAGTGTCTGGATTGGGGCAAAGGTTAAGTTTGGAATTTAGAGAACCACAAACCGGCTGTCATTTTTCACTCAAAGCAAGCGAATAATCATAATGCAAGCAAGTGATGAATTGTAAAGCATTTGAAAGCCATTAAATGAATGCTAGGATTGATTGACACAGCATAAGGCTACAATTATGGTTAAAGCATTAACCATAGAGTTACTGTAATGATGTGATTGAATGTACCCATGGGACATGCATAAATTTGACCGTGTGTGTGGTCTTGTTTGTGTATCCATGTGGGAACCGAATGTTCCCTCGATAGCAAATCCCGAAAAACCTATATTGTAAATTTTATTTATTAGTATTGGTCGATATTGTATATTTAATTGTTTTAATTTCCCCTATTTTTACATAATAAATTACCTTTGCCGTCATCTAACGCTTACTTAAAGTTAATCTTTAAACAAGAATGATTCATAGCACTGCTAAATGTTATCTTTGGAAAATCTCAAAATAAATATCCATTTTTCAAACCGTAATGTTGCAATGCCTCAATACACATGAAGCGTTTAACGGTTGATTCACTTGATTTTAGTTTTTAGTGTTTTGTTTTTAATTAATTTAGACAAAATAGTATAGAATTTCAATATCAGCCATTTATCGGTTATCATAACATAAAAATAATTATTGGGGAATTCAATCTATGAATTACTTATAGTTGTCTAATTTGAGCTTGCTTCCCCTTTAAGAACAGTAGAAGTCAATGGGACCATGATATAAAATGACTGACCATGATATTAACTGTTCCATAATTGACACGTCACATTTATAAGTACATACTGGAGTAATTATAAATGAAATGAATAATGATTCAACTTTAATATGATTCGATTTGCTAATAGTTTTTCAAATCTGATGAGGTTGCAATATTGCCAGTGAAAGGTCATGGAGGACCATGACTTCTGAAATGCTCATGTAAAGAATATTAGGTATATTGAATGTGAATGTACATATGTTATGCATGCATGTGCTGTATATGACTTGGCTTGCATCTTTGGATTTCATTTGTGTGTGAGTGTGTTTTGCCTCTCACGTCCATCTGCCTCCATCAGGTCAGGCTTAGTAAAGGACATCTCTTTCCAGTTACTGGCAGGCCGTCTACAGAGGCAGCTTGTGCTTAGGCAACATGACTTGGCAGTGAAGCCACTTTAACACAGAGCTGTAATCATTGTTTCAAGGTTATCCAAAAGCACCAGATCCCAGGACATCATTTGGGATTCGTATTGGACCACAACAGAGGAATCTCCAGTGCATGTTGTGTCCCATTAGAGGAGAGACTGTAGCTTTTGATTATAACTCTGAATGTCTGGCTGATATGATAAGCATGCATCTTTATCCTCTGTTTGCTCTCCTCTCCTTGTATTCATCTGTGCCGTATTATTTCCTCCAGCCTCCAGCCAAATACCTCTTGCCTGAGGTCAGCATTAATGATTACGGCAAGAACTGTGTGGTCATTGACCTGGACGAGACCCTTGTGCACAGCTCTTTCAAGGTACTTGTGCATACACACACATACATAAAGAGAAATTTATGTCATTATGATTTTTCATATAGCAATGAATACATGGCATATTGATATAACTGATAGCTAATCAGTTTTACTTTGGAAACCATTGCCGCCCTCTATATTGGCTGACTTTTGAAAAAATTAAGATGACTATGGCTGTGTTCCAAAACCTAATTAGCTGCCTACATAGGGAGCCTTTAAGGCATTTTCAATAAAAGTAGGCATTTTATTCTGCCTCTTAAGATAACTTACTTCTTTCAGAGTTATCTGGACTATAATAATGTTCTCAAAATGTTAGCACAAGAATATTATTTATACATCATTCCATGGAAGGTTTTTTCTGAAACGTCTTTGTTGTTTTTTACCCTTATGCTCCCGTACTTTTGAATTTGCAATTCTTTTGGATATTTTTTATTTTGTACTGTATACCTTTAAAGTACTAGATTATGGTTCTGCATTGTAAATGTGTTCAAATCTAACTACTTCATATATTTGTCTGCATTGTGTCTGATTGATTTTTATTTAAAAAAAAAAAAAAAAAACATTGCCCCAGTTATATGATATATATATCCCTCTGTAATGGGAATTCCGTATGCATGTGGGTGTGTTCTGCATTGGGGATGTTATAGCCTCATGCCTTCATTTGTGTGTGTGTTTGTTCTTTTTTATATTTTTTTGGCAAATAAAAAAAATTTCTCTCATTCCATTCATCTTATGGGGGGGTCAAATTGACCGTGAGGGATAGATTTGTTACTTGTTTAGTTATTGTTTATTTTATTTATATTTGTTAAACTCCTCGAATCCAGTACATTTTTTGTGTATATTCGAAGTTCAAGTGGGACAAAAGTGTTAAGGTCTTGAACCAACACCTAATTATTTTTTTTATTTTTTTAATGAGTTTCTTTTCAAAATGACCCAAGGAGAGGATGAGGGTTGTTTCAGAACGTTCAGAGAACATTCAAAAGTAACGTTCCTATAATTTTGCAAAAAAAAAAACTGGACGCTTTGAATGTTCAGAAATAATGTTTTCATAACATAATGGGAACATAGGCAAAACATCCGTGTCCAAAGCAGACCCGACAAATCCAAATAGTCTAAAACCTTATTTTTTTAATATAAAAGACATTGCGGCCATTTGTTACTTGAATGTGCGAGGCTTCCGGTGTCATTTGCTTCCAGTTATTTTAGTGCCAATTTTTATTATTTTTATTTTAAGTGCCAACCATTTACTTCACTGTATTCTTCTAGTTATTTATAGCAGCTAATGAATCTGATGTCTCACACATTCACAGAAAATAGCTTTCTTCTCTCTTGCAAAATACGGTGGAAGAAAGCTTCCTATGTAGCCACAAGACGACAAGGCAGCTCGTTAGTTTTTGGTATAGAGCTTCCATTTCAGTCCTTATTCCTAAATGTAACATGAATAATTTCAGGGGATTCACTTCTGCACAGAAGTTTTAAGTGGCCAAATGAATTATTTGAGCAACCTAAGACATAATAACAGAAGGCATTGGCAGTATTTTGAGGTTGTTGGGTTGGATTTTTAAGTCCTGGGTGAATTAAATCCTCTTCAGAGACTAAATGTTTATCTGGTCCCTAGGAAGTACATGCTTCAGGGAGCCACCTGCTGAGTGCAGTGACCCACTTCTATGCATCTTGGTTTTATGCTGCTCTCTCACTCACACATATGATCAAATAAACGACTGTGGCCATTTGATTACACACAATCACCCCACATTTACATATGTACACACGTCTAGCTTAATGTCTTCCACAGCTGGATGCATCCCCACTCCCAAGAGAGAAAGACAGTGACAGATACTGAATGTGTTTGCTCGAAGACTAATAACTGTGTTTTGTTAAAGCAAAGCCTGTCCTCCTTTAAAATGTCTGCCTGGCAGCTCCTGTTTTCGCTCAGAGAAGAGAGAAAGGCGGCGACTGAGAGAAAGAGGCCCAGAGAAAGGGATGCATGCCTTTGTGCGCGTTCACAACCTCACATACACACACAAAAACACCCACCCTGACACCAAAACACATACACACATATCACATTAAAAAGGTATGCTCACAGTTACACAAAAAAAGATTTGACCATGACCGTACTTGAACGAGTGTATTCTATTACTTTTGATTATTGCTTAGTTTTGCCTCAATGGCTTGTTTTTCTCGGTGACAGAAGAGGTTTTCGGTTTTCTTTTTTCCCTTCACATTTACATACAGCAGACACAAAAAGTATTTGAACATTAAACAATATTAAATATTTTGTATCTAATGCAATGGTGCAATTTTGGACATAATGCTTATTTTACAATACTGACCAAGTCTGTACTTCATTGCGCTAATCTTTTAATCGCCTTTATTAAATAAATAAATGAACTTGAAATATTTAAGTATTAAACGTTTAAATATTGTTTCAACATTTTTAGTACATGTCTGGAATACTTGTTTCTGATTGGTCAGTATATTTTTGCATATATGGACCTGTAAACCAATCTCCTACAGTATTCTAGTTTCATATCTCATGTAGCACTCTACACTCTGTTTGTTCCCACATAATAAGATAATTTAATCTCAAATCAATATCCAAAGTCAGTGCATTTACTTATGTGGTAAGTAGCCATGCATTAAGTGGGATAATGTACAGTCAGATGGTCATTTTCACAAAATGAAATCATTGAAGGTTATACAAGACCCCTTCCAACTACATTTTTGTATTGAGTTTGGTTATAAATTGTTTGGTATATATTTTGGTTGAATACTATGTTCAGGTCATTACACAAACCTATTTGACCACAGCATGCAGCAATTACATTTTTAGACTGCAGTGTAATAATTTGTTAGTAGTCAAGGGACAGTGAGTTCACTAGAAGAGAGGTCAGTATGTGTAATGTCTTTATATATCTATTTCAGTATATACACAATTTTCTAATCTCTCATTCTCTGTAATTTATAGATTATACACTGCACTTTCTGACAGTTGATACTTTTGTTCAGAGGACAGTAGACGCTTATAATAAAGATTAGAATATAGATTAGCATTGGAAATAATGTATACCTGATTTATATGGTAATAGGATTCAAGATTGCATTTTCTAGCTAATATAGTGTTACAATCCTCATTAGTATAGATATAGATCACACACTCCTCCTGCTGGCCATATAATGAACTGATCAGTGTACATCAGTTGACTGTGAAAACTGATCTGAAATCAGTATTAAATAGACTTTGAAGTACTAAAACAGTTAAAAAATGTGTCCACTGTATTTCTAGATAAACATTTAGAAACTGTGTCCACTAAGAAAGTTAATTTTCTTAATTTATTTGATCTCGTTCTCCAGTAAAAAAAATATGTAAACATTCGTAAAATAAGATACATTTACTTGAAGCAAATTTATATATTATATCTCTGATATATTTCAGAGAATTTAACTTTAAGTTTACACTCCCCGTAGATGAGTAGTTTGTTTGTTTAAGCATAATCATCAAAATCATTAATATATATTATTAAAACAAGAAATATGCCAATTGGGTAAGAACATTATATTATTAAAATATAAAATAAATTGTTAAAAATGATCAAATGTATAAATTGATCTTGTTTTGAGGTTGTTCAGGATGTATACATTGTTCTGGAAAACAAGACTTCTCTAATTAAATTCTGTTGAATTGTGTTGTAAATGAAACTATCCATCTTAATCATGATGTTATGCAGTCAGAGATGGGACAGGTATGCCTCTGTGTGAGCCTCCTTCTCTGCCGTCCAATCAGTTTTTAACAAGTCCCAGCGAGCAAAAGTTTTCTCTCTTCTCCTCATCTCCCTTTCCCTTTCTCTCTTTGCATTATGAGAGCTCAGAGCCTCCCGCTGCGTTCCTTTCATCGTCTCCCTTCGCTCTACAGCACGTCTCCTCCCTCTCCCTCCGCTTTCTTTAAAAGTGTATCAAGTCTCCTTTCAAAGAAGCTTGCCGTTCCCCGCTCCATGCAGTCAGCTGTCAGAAACACGCTCATGCACAAACACTCTTACAGCTCAAAGAACTGAAAGACTTGACTGCAGGTAGCCTATCTGTGAAGCGATGGATGCCTCTCTCTCTCTCTCTCTCTCTCTCTCTCTCTCTCTCTCTCTCTCTCTCTCTCTCTCTCTCAGAGAACACTGAGCTGATACAGCTGTAACATTCTTACAGTCGGTTTCAAGCAGACTCCTAATGTGTGATTTCCTGTTTTGTGCCCGCAGCCTATCAGCAACGCAGACTTTATAGTCCCTGTGGAGATTGACGGAACAGTTCATCAGGTACGAGTGGGTTCAAATGTGGCCGTGGGTAAATGTTCACACTTTGTCGGAATCTGGACTGTTTTTTGGGCTTCAGTGTCACTTAACCTCAACGATCGGTGTCATGAATTGAAATTAAAGAAATATTCTGGGTTCCATACGAGATAAGATCAATCGTCAGCATTTGTGGGATAATAAAACATAAATTGAACATAAACGAATTTTGACTCGTCCTAATCAAGGTTTAAGGTGAGCCACTTGCAATGGAAGTTGATGGTAAAATTTTATATAATTTCACCCTAAAAATGTTTTTTTTTTTTACATTAAAATCATGGTAACATGGTAATTGCATGTTGTGGCTATACGAAATTATTGTAAACGGCAGCTGTGGTTGCCAAAAATGTTCCATAAAAAATATACACATGCCAAATACTATGATATATGACTATATATAGAAAGTGCATGGTGTCAAAAACATTAATTCAGCAAGATAAGATCTAACATAAAACTCTAATGTACATAAATGGTAAGAAAGAACTAAGAAGAAACAATTATTATACAAACCGTCAAATGTGAGCTGTCATTCTTTCACTGTAAATTATAAAATGTCCAAAAACTGTACATTTATACAACAACAGTATTTTACTGTAAAAAGTCCCATTAGATCTGTTACTGTTTTTCACTGTATCCACCTTATTTTTATCTACACATTTGTAACTTGAATGTGTTTGGCTTCTGGTGTCATTCGCATTTATGGATTGGCCCCAATCCCTTCAATTGTAGCTAAGTGCCTCACTTTAACTCAGAGTTTAGCTTTTTTATAGAAAAGGAGGGAAGTAGAAATTAATTTTGTGGTAATCAACATTAAGCCACAAATGCTGTCCTTTTAACTTAACTTTTGCTGAACCCGGAATATTACTGTAAAAATCATAACATAAAATACATCTTAGTGATGGCCACCTCACTGTTCTGTGGATTTTCTGCCATATTAAGACATCAGCATTAAAGTCCCTGTAAAGTCAAAATTAAGTATGTGTTTTGAGTTTGTCACACCACAGAAAAATGTGTTATTAGTCACCCAGCCAAATTTGAATGATAAAAAAGCCAGCAAGTACATAAAATAAGCTATCAAAATCTTGAAAAAATGAGCAGTAATCTCTGCTCTCAAACGCTGGGGGCGTGTCCACTGGCTGCGCTGAAACCACGCCCACTCGCGGGAAAGCTTAAGCTGCCGTCGACTCGCCACACTCAACTCTACAGCCGGAATGGATGCTCACACGGTGGGCACGCACTGCCGAATGGCACCAGTTGTCGGCGCGACGGGAGAATGAAGGCTGAGGCGGGAGTCGGTTCGGCCCCATTCACCAGTAACAGCGGATTATCAGTGAATCCCAGACAGTTATCTCCGACGAAAGTTTATAAAAATATCCCGTGTAAAATGATCACTTACAGAGGCGGGTTTTGGCGGTGATCCTCAGCTCTCCATCAAAGGTGGCTCTTCACAAAATTAATCCACTTCTTCTTGATGTAATCGTTTTTCGGAAATTTAAATAAGGACACCGATCTGTTTTGTACGTGATCCGGTGATCGCATCCAGGTAGTACGCATTTCCGTGACGAAGGCATAGCTAGTAGCTAGCAATCTGTAGGCTGTGTTACTAATAATAGCACTGACAGTCGCAAACTGATGTGAATGTGCTCTATAATATTGTTAGGAGCGGCCAGCCTCAGTGGCCTCAGTGCGTCATCAAGTAGGGGCGTGTCCAGGAGCTCAAGGGCTCCAGTGCGTCATCGAGCCCTGTTTTAGCCCCGCCCAGAAAATCCGGAAAATAGCAATGGTGAAAAACTGTTTAACGGTCTAGGGCCCAGTCCCAATACTCACTTGAGCCCTAAGGCCTTCCTGGAAGTGGACACTTGTTGAAAGTGCACTTAGCGGAGTAAGTGTGCAAGGGCCCGAAGCTGTGAAGAGCAGAATTGGGACAGTTTTGCACACATCACTATCTACGTCACTTCTGTTGTGATCAGGGGAGTAAACACCGTTCATTTGGCTAATGTTTGTGCTGTGCTGCTTATAATAGCTGTCGCATGACACAATCCTTTGAATGAAAAAATGTATATCTTTTTTTACTCTTAGCTCCCAACCTTTCTGTTAATGTTATTAATATTAAATTAGTTTTTGGCTAAGATAAATTGTGATAACTGATAAGATAAATTGTGATTGAGGTTTACCTGAGCTTATACTGCCTTACCGTATTCACAGCGATTCGAAACAATTTTAATTATGTTATTATGGAAATTGATATATGAAATTCTTCCCATCCCATACATGAAAAAATACATGACGTGTTGGTGATATATAGGGTATATATTAAAATAGTCTTACACAGGTTATATGAAATAAAATGACACAACCCTGTCTCTTTTTGTTACATTTTAGTTTTATTGATCAATAATAGCCATTATTAAAGTATAAGTAGCCTAAAAAGTATAAGAAGCTATATAAGTCAAGAAATAAAGCAAGTTAAAAAATTCAGTCAAACATAAGTCAATAGGCTAATGTTACAACGTTACCGTTAAATAGCCTAAATATATAAAATTATGAAACTTCACTTTGCCCTCAGCCAAAATGATTTGCCAGGGAACAAATCATAGATTAATGAAACCAAAGATCGCCCGTTAGATATACACAAGCCGATTTATAGCTCATGTTTAACCACTAGACACAGAGCCTGCGGGAAACGTCAGAATGACTAGCCGAGGTAAGGCTGTTCCAGCTGGGGTACATGAGCACTGAGCGCCCGCTGATCCCTGGAACTCCGAAAACGTCAGATCAAATTTTTAAATAGGCGTTATCTTTATAAATAAACCACAGATTTGAGCTTTAAACAACTATATTCTCGACTGAAAAACTCTTAAAACTACATTTCGTGACACAATAACACTAATATTTTTAAATTTCGCGGCCTTGAAAAACACTTCACCACACCGGCTTCCTTTATCTTCGGAGTTTCCGCTCCCGAACAGCAGCACCATAGCAACCGTTCTCCCCCATTGGTTAGCTGTTCGAAACGTCACAACACTACAAGGATTCTGGGTAATAGCCCACAGCAAAGTGAGGTCTGATGCACACTTGCGAAAAGGGTGCATTAAGTGCCCTTACGATCACCCCTGGAGAACACATTAGAGGATCGGGACACCCTACGGCCTTGCACCCCTTAGCGAGAACGCGCATTTGAGGGGCACAAGGGCGCAAGTGCGGATATTGGGACAGGGCCTAACTCCACAATTCAGTACTTCACAGTTCACAGTCTTTGTAATATGTTTTAGCAATACATTTCTAATATTTATAATGTGTTTAGAATTTTTTTTTGAAATTGCCTTTACAGGGACTTTAAGGATTTTTCCTCTTTCCAACATGTGTCCTCCTTTTTATTCAGTTTTATTTTAATCTCTTAAGAAAAAGTAATATTTGAGAGGCCCCAAAGGGTTCATGCTAAATCACAGTCTGAATCTAGGCTCATTTTCTTTTATCCTTCTTGAGTCGTTGGGTGCAATGTAGTCAGCTCGAGGTTACCAACTTGAAGTAAACAAATGTCAGCAGTCTGAACAGCCGAAAGCTCAGTGTAAATACACTTAAGGGGAGTCTGAATTGTGTTGATAGTAAGTCTGTGTGAGTCAATATGGCTCATTTGTTGCTGGAATACATCTGAAGTGGCTCATACCTGGTTCAAGTAATCCAGGATAGGCTTTGTGGATCAGGGTCGGCCTGTTCTTGGTTACTTGCACTTGGTTACAGCAACTGATCGACAAGTTCAAGACTGAAAAGCTACAAAGAGGTTTGTTGAAAGTTCAGCGTCAGCATCTCCGCTGTCTATTTCCAGGAATGAGAAGTGATTCGTTTCCATCAGTAATAGCTGTTTATTTGGTTTGTTTGAAGGTCTACGTGCTGAAGAGGCCTCATGTGGATGAGTTTCTGCAGAAAATGGGCGAACTCTTTGAATGTGTTCTCTTTACAGCCAGTCTGGCTAAGGTAAGGCTCTCTAAGGTTTCTTCACACTGCATATAAACCATCGGATCCATTTCTAGTTAATATTTTGTCAATTAGTCAATATTTTACAGACTCGATTTATAGCAACGGAAGTCATTTTCAATAAAAGTCGGTGATTTTTCAGTGGCATTAGCAACATTACCATTGCAATGTGTGGGCATCCCTGTGACTCAACAAAGTTAAGAAAAGTTTAACTTTATGCAAATAAGTGATGAAGTGAAGTCAGCGGAGCTGATCTCCTGTGAGATACTCGAGGTGGAATAGAGGACGATAATGTTATTGAGAGTGATTTCACCCTTCTATATGATTTATATACATCTATATAAAAAGCTATGTGGAAAAATGAGTCATAAAGTTTGTCGGTGGTGAGTTTCATGCATTGTTAATCTTCCATCTCGTTGATATGATGTATAATGCACCTCTGGTATTTATATAAAATGCTCCCTGCAGAACATTCAATTTTAGCAACAAGAAAACTAATTTGTTGTCAAAATAGAATGACATCTTATTTTAACGTTGCTTTATCCCAGTTTTTAAAAAGCTTTTCATGTTATATATATATATATATAATTTATTTAATGATTTATTTTTGTTTATGTGTTTTAATTAATCTATTAATTTGTATTATTATTATTATTATTATTAAAGAATAGCATTCTTGAGTACTACTAACACTCTGCCTCCATTAATCTACAGTATTAGGACACAGTTCAGCTTCAGTTTTAGAATTTATTTTTGGTAACACTTTATTTTACAATGCCCTTGTTACATATGCCACATGTACTTACTCTTGTAATAACAGTAAATTATGCATAGTTACATGCAACTAACCCTAAACCAAACCTTACCCCTAATTATAGTATGTGCATGTTGTTAAATAATATTACTCAGTACATAAAGGAATAGTTCACCCAAAAATGAAAATTATCCCATAATTTACTCACCCTCAAGCCATCCTAGGTGTGTATGACTTTCTTTTTTCAGCCAAACACAATCAGAGTTATATATACAGTATATATATATATATATATATATAAAAAAAATGTTTTTGAAGCTCCAAAAAGTGCATCCATCCATCTTTAAAGTAATTCACACGACTCCAGTGGATTAATAAATGCCTTCTGAAGTGAAGCGATAGGTTTTAGTAAGAAAAATATCCATATTTAAAACTTAATAAACAATTCTCACCTGAGCTCACGCTACGCCAATGTCAGATGTCGGGTCAGAGGTCACCCTTCCACCGGAACTCGACTCTCTCATGAACGCGTGCACGGGCGAGGGAGGGGCTTCATAAAGACAGGAACTAAACAGAGCATTATTGGCAGATTGGGAAGAGAGGTGCTGCAGCATCTTAAAAAGAATGTTTTTGACAAATCAAGCATGAAAACCTATTCTAGTAGACCCCAAAACAAAATCAATAGGTCCCCTTTAAATATTAAAGATGGTGTAATTATATTGTAAATATTATAAATCTTATGTTGCTGTATTGTTTGTGTGCTACGCTCATAGCTGTCCCTGTTTTTGGTCTTGTAGTATGCTGACCCTGTAGCAGACCTGTTGGACCAGTGGGGTGTGTTCAGGGCACGGCTCTTCAGGGAATCCTGTGTGTTCCACCGGGGGAACTACGTCAAAGACCTCAGCCGATTGGGCCGGGAGCTCAACAAAGTCATCATAGTGGACAACTCGCCTGCCTCCTACATCTTCCATCCAGAGAATGCTGTACGTACTGTACCACTGTGGGCCGCACCTCCAGTTGACATGACATTACAGCATCAGAATACACTTTTACTATATAATACGCATGTTGACTCCTAGAACTTGTGAATGTGTCTTTTATCCTAGAATCATTTTTTTCAGTGGAACTAATGAGGCAGAACCCCAGCCGCTGGCTCTCTGCACTCCTTTGTAAAAACTTCTCATCAATTATAGACTGTAGCGAGAGACCTGTGGAGGAAACCGCAGTCAGACAGATCCTACCTCAGTGCTGTCTCCTCCTACACTTGCTCGCATCCGTCCTCTTATTAGATTGGAAGGTGTTATTCTGTATTCAAACTAATGAGCCAAAGGTGCTTATTAAAGCCTGTTATATTTGAGGTGGTGGAGACTTCTTCTCAAGACACTGCACACAGTTGGCAAAATTAGTTGTTTTGCTGTGTCACGTATGCCTTTTTCTGCCACTTCTGTCAACAGTACCTCCTGCGCGATAAATCGGAAATAAAATCAAAATCTCAATACGGCTTAGTTAACTGAATCAAGAAAGAACTTCAATATTATAGGGGACAATGTTTGATGAGCTGCAGCTCATTGGCCGCTGATGCAACAGCAACCAATCAGCTGCGCTATGTAGATGACGATGCGATCGCTACCAAATGAGTTAAGGACCTATCAGCCTGTGCCATCTAGAGTTTCATGCCAGAACTTGTTAGAGAAATTGTTATTTTGCATATATATTTTTATTTTTATTCTTCATATTACCTTCATTACACATACCTATCGTGTTTATATATACATTTATATATTTTTTTTATATTTGAATGTGATAATGGATGTTGGCACTGATTTCTTTTTTTTCTTTTTTTATATTTGGTATATTTGATACTGTGTGTATTTTGTTGTATAAGCTAATGGATGCCTTGAATTTCCTTCGGGATCAATAAAGTGTCAATCATTTAGTTCATGAAATTCACTCAATCATGCTTACTGTTAAAGGGAAAGTGTTTTCTGAAATGAATAGTTCACCCAAAAATGTCATATGTCATAATTTATTCACCTTCATGTCGTTCCAAATCTGAATGGCCATCTTCAAAATATGTTCTTTTTGGTCAGCAGAAGAAAGACAGTCACACAGCTTTGAGACCACATAAGAATTTACATTTTGGGGTCAGTTATCCCTTAAGGGTGTTTTATTGGGGGACCAAATGGTTCTTGATAAGAATACATTTATTTTGCTTGAATACGAATTTACTGAGCATAGTTGGTAGTTTGACAAAAGCGTTTTGCAGCATGTGCTTAAAGTGTCTTTCTGTGTTTGCAGGTGCCGGTGCAGTCGTGGTTTGATGACATGACAGACACCGAGCTTCTGGATTTACTGCCACTGTTTGAAGGCCTGAGCCGGGAGACGGACGTTTACGGTGTGTTACAGAGCCCGAGCACCAGGTAACACACACGGGTCCAGCAGCACTGCCTTGCATACACAAACGCCCCCCTCCTTCCGTCTCGGGTCGAGCCAATGTTCCGTTCTGGCCTCTAGAGGACACCACTCACCCAACGGACGCTACTTTATCTCTCTCAGTGGACCAACGGCCAACAATATTCCTTGGCGAGCAAATATTTACACTCATGAAGAAAACAAAGCGTCATCTTTTTAAGAGAAACACAAGAGTTTACTATCCTTGAGTATATTCAACAGGAAAAAAGAACTGAGAAACAACAAGACGTGCTATTTTTCTGGACCGGCGTGAAAACACTTTGAACTTTTTTTCTGTTCAGGCTATGCAGGCAGTCTTTTCCGTGGCGTCATCGGTAGTTCCAGCAACTGTGATTTAGTTTTTCTCCTTCTCTTGTACCAAACAAAGTGCCTTCTGACTGTTGTTTTTATGTGGACACAAATGAGTTTTTGTATGCTGCATATTTACAATTCGAAACCTTTAAACAAACACTTACTGTAAGACCAAGGCAAACAATGAGTCTTTTAAAATGAATGAAGACTTTACGGTGAAGGTCAGGAGATTTCACTGGACTGAATGATATTATCGAGCGAAAGATGATGCCGCTATTTTCTTGGGTTATTTTATGCCTTCGGAAATATAGCATCGTGTTCAAAAGAAATGTTTGCATCTACTTATTACCCAACTGTGATTTGAACTAATAATACAACATATATTGTGAAAAAAGCGGTAATCAACAATCCAATATGTCAGGATCTGAAATTTATAATCTTCATTATCAAAATAAAAGATGCAATCAATATAAAGAATGGCTCACATGTTTGTGTCTATTTGTGTGCATTACACTTGAGTAAGTTCCAAAGGGATGCTGGGAAGCCATGAGGGGATTACACACAATGAGTCCATTGTACAGGATCTTTACAGAAGAGTGAATTTAAATATGCTTGGTTTTCCTCAACAAGATGGATTTTGTGTCCTCAGAAATGTGGGCCATGTAGTTAATGAGCAAACTGTGCGCTCGTCTAGTTTGATGCATGATTTGCCATGAACCTTAAGCGGTTCACTTACAGAGAAGCAACTAAAAGACCACCTGTGACAGTAGAGTCATTTTTGGTGGTAAAACTTTGGAAAAGGCAGTTTTTTTTTTTATTAGCCATGAAAATATATGTGGAGGCGGTCAGCTGTGCATTTATACATTATTGAGTTTTTTATCTGTTGAACTTGGAGTCTGAGGTAAGATGTTTGTTTTTTTACATTTTCACAAATATTTAATATTTGATGTCTCAGTTTAAAAGTGAAAAGACCGCTTTAAGGAAAATATTTTGACTCGACCTAACAAAAATTACTTTTTGTTGGTGTAGCCCTATGTAGTCAGATTTAGTCATTAAATATTTTTTCTGACTTAAATAAAACCAGTTAATTCACCCATTTAAACATTTATTTAAGATTTTTACAATATATTTACACTGTCAGTAGTTCCTGATCTCAACGATTAGCTTCAGAATATCCAAATATGGTAACTTAGAAACCTTTGTGAATCACATGACCTTGAGCTTTATGGGCCGTGTGTGTTTGAGAGTATAAAATGACATTTTGAATTTGGGTGCTGTCAGAGAGATGTTTGCCTAAGGTGTCTCTGGGATGGGGGATGAAAGGAACAGCTGAATATGAGCTCTCTTATGTTGGGTTGCTCCTGTTGGAAATGACTCATATCTGTTTGCTTTACTATTGTCATGAATGTTTGTCTATGTGTGTGTTCTGCACCGAGAGGGAAAGACACGCTGTTCTATGCCAGTAGTGAAAAAAATACTCTTAAATCCTAAAGGTTCCTCCTTATGCTTATTTGAGTAATGCAGTAAAACTAAGCGGTTACCACCAACATACTGCCATTGACAAGTTTGTGTTGCTTCACAAACAATTTAATGGATTACTTAACCGGCTGGTTATGTAATAATGACATTGGGGCAATTTTGTCCAAACCTTGTTGATCTCTTTCCCTAAACAGTGTCAGTGAGTTTCTTCACATTAAATTGACTCAGGTGCCTTTTATTGTTAGCATTTGAATATCCTGACATTTAGAAGAGAGAAGCTATAATTGTATGCTGGAAATTGTCCCTAAAGGGAAAAAAATATGAGATGGGAGAAAAAATGATACATTTACATATAAATGATAAAAAATAGCCATATTTTACGATTAAAGGTCAATTATAAAATTCATTACTTTCATTATTAATTGTTATTAGTGATGTTGCTGAATTCGATAGATAGATAGACAGATAGATAGACAGACAGATAGATAGATAGATAGATAGATAGACAGACAGATAGATAGATAGATAGATAGATAGATAGATAGATAGATAGATAGATAGATAGATAGATAGATAGATAGATAGATAGATAGATAGATAGATAGATAGATAGATAGATAGATAGATAGATAGATAGATAGATTGATTTTTCTTTCCATATAAACATCGCCCTCTTCCTCAGAATGGCATTCTGGCCTGCAGTTAAGGTGAAACCTCGAAACCTTAATGAAGCACCACTTTGCCGCTTATCTTTATTTGTTAGCGGCTGATGGGCCGTTTGCCATAGTTTGCCTCTGATATCTGTCCAAGAGCCTCTCGCAGGGGATTCGTTCGCTCAGTCTCTCCATCTGCTGGAGTGGAAGACATTAATCATCGTCTCCTCTCTCTGGCTCTCCTGAGCGTCTGTGTGGCGTTCCCGTCTGATGCCTTCCTTATGATCTAAGAGTGAAAGAGCTGATGTGAGCGGAATCCAGACACGCTTGAGTCTCTCTGACATCCACCAACTTCAAACAAGCTTGTTTTAGATCACTGAGAGAATGCCTGATTGAGACAGGGATTCCTAATTCATGTAACGGGTTAGTTCACCCAAAAATTCAGTTATTAACGCTAATGTTGTTTCAAAACACGTCTGGCATTCATTTTCATTTTCAAAATTGAAAATATAAACAATGTCCTGGTCCATTTTTTTCATGCAAATATAATTTATTGTGAACGGATGCTTTTAACCTTCAAAAAACATGGAAAAACTCCATAAAAGTAGTCTTTTGATTAAAGTTTTTGATCAGTTTTTTTTTTTCTAAAGGTTTATTTATAGGGTTATGTACGTAAGAGGTCAAAGGGACGCCTATTCTTGTCCATATAAAGTCCCGTGTGAGTATTAAGGTGTGTTCTCACCTGTAGGGGTGGACATATACAAGCCCTTCCCTGATCAGCACACATTCACATTCATACATACAGGGAGAGGAAGCCGCTTAGACATTCATCATAACTCATTAATACATCAATACCCTGAACAATACTTACAGGTAAGAACAAAACTATTAGAATTCATGAGTCATTGAATGGTACATTTACAGTTATACAGTTCTTGAAGGATATTTTAAGTATTATACTGTGTGTGCCAAAGTTTTGCATGCTTATTATAAGCAGCAAAACGATATACAATTGTGTGAGATTCAAAAACTGATCTCAAAGTGTCTTTTTTAGCAATACAAGCAGATTTTCTTTAGTCGGTTTTTAGCACATTACTTTGTTATGTGTAACTGAAACTTAAAAATTTGTCATAAAGAATCAAAAGATCCCGCATGACCAAACTCGCACTGGGAAATATGAGACTAAACCATGTAAATGATTAGGACTAATGGAAAAGCCTGTCCACTATTGTTTAAAAAGCTTTGTCAATAGACAGGAAAACCAGTCATTCAGGACAGAAAGCACACAAAACTATTAAATACGCAGTGCTTGTACAGCTTTCGTAATAAGCTGTTTGTCAGAGAGTGATCAGATGAATGTCTTATTTGAATGTAACAGGATCATATGAGAGATTAAAAGCTGTTGAGACAGATATTACTTCTGATTATTAGTAGATTCTGACCAGCTATCTGTGCTTCAGTTCGTCTGTTTTCTCATTGAATGCCAATTTCTGAGAAATTTCTGTTTTGGGTAAATGACTACATTTTTTCATGTGGGTTGGTGTCTTCTATCCTCGCGCTCCTTCTGTGTTCATGCTCCACCCTCAATACAATATTTCAGTCAATATTCTCGCACCCGCAGTTTCTTAGCAACAGCTGCTGTGATTATGAAAGGTCAGCTTTTCTTTTCACTGTTAGCGTTGAGTTTTATGAGAGAGGATTGGTTGATGTGTAGTTGTTGTTTATTTGCGGTGCATTATTTATTTGCAGGCAACCTTCACAGCTTGTCTGAATATGCTTTTTGAATGGATTCTCAAGCAAAGCCCCTAGAAGGACAGGTCAATCTTATATGATAAAATATCTGAAACAGATCTTGGCCATCATATGACTCCAGTGGCAAAATATTTTCCCAATAATGTGTAATGTGAACTGCAACCTGTTCTAAATAGCTTTTAATACAAATTTCTATCGCCAAGTATAGTGTTTGTGTTTACTGAGCAGATTCTTCAATGTGAAATCCATTTGTTGCCATGGTACTGGGTGGCACTGTTTATTAGTGGCACACAATCTCTGGAGGAAGCGAAATCTTCATCCTTTCATAAACCATCTGTTCTCAAGTCACTCAGTGTTATGAGTGATGAAGGAAAAGATTTCTTTTCAAAATATTGCTCCATGATGTTTCACATTTGCAAAGATCTGTCATAACATTTAATTAAAAACTGAAATCTATCTATCTATCTATCTCTATTTGTCTGTCTGTCATTCTGTCGATCAAGCTCTGTCAATAAATTTGTCTCTCTTTTGGTCGATCTGTCTATTTGTCGATCAATCTGTCTGTCTATCAATCTGTATATCTGTCTGTCTGACAATCAATCTGTCCGTCTATCAATCAATCTGTCTGTCTGATGATCAGTCTGTTTATATGTCTGTCTGTCTGACGATTAATCTGTCTGTCGATGGATCCGTCTTTCTGTTGATCGATCTGTCTGCCTGTCTGCCTTTCTAAAGTTAAAATATGCCAATTTGATCCTATTATGTAATGTAGAATATGTGTTTATAAGTGTTATATACGTTTATATATGGTGGATATCTGTTTTAATTCAGATAGTTTGAGCGCTAAGATTTCTTCTCAGAATCCAGCAGAATGACTGAAGCCCAAGATGTGTTTAAAAACATCCAGCGAAAGCCTGGCCTGCAGATCTGGACCATCAGTGTAAGAGACCACTGTTGTTTGCTCCCATTTTTGTCAGCTCTATGATTTAATATTTCTTTTAAAAAACATGAAAACGAGTCAAACTGACATTGCATTTGTTATTATTCATTGTGTTCTATATTATTCTGTTTTCTGTTTCTTTAGAAAATGAAAATGGTCTCTGTCCCAGAGCAAGCATTTGGAATTTTTTTTGAGGGTGACTGCTACATAATTCTTAATGTAAGTAATTTAGTGCTTTCAGAATACTTACTATACATGAAAACTTTCGAACAAGTCCAGTTGACAATAATCTCATTGAACTTTGTCCAGTTGAACACAAAGGAAGTTATCATTACGGAATTTTTAAAGCTACTCCTTTTCCAATGATAATGCATAGTGATTTTTCTTGGTTAATTTTTTTTTTATTTTTTTTATAATTATAAAATATTATATATATAATGAATATACAATGTAGTGCTGTCAAATCGATTAATCGCATCTAACATAAAAGTTTGTAAAAATATATATGTGTGTTTTGTGTGTGTATTTAGCTATGTATGTAGGCCTATGTATATACCTACATATATATTATGTATTTACAAACTTTTATGTTAGATGTGATTAATCGAGATTAATCAATTTGACAGCACTATTTAAATTATAAATAACAATTTGAGTTAATGAATTGATTAAATTATTTATTATTACTGATGTACTAAAAATATGTGCATGATACCTTCTTTAACATGGGTGTATCTGTCCTCACTCCTCAAGCATTTTGTCCTGTCTCATCCAGGTGAGCAACATCACCACACAATCCACTGATATCCACTACTGGATAGGCAACACTTCCTCTCAGGATGAGCAGGGAGCCGCAGCCATCTATGTAACCCAACTGGATGAGTATCTCGACGGCAGTCCGGTCCAGTACCGGGAGGTCCAGGGATGTGAATCAGCCAAATTCAAAAGCTACTTCAAGAGTGGCCTCATGTGAGTGAAAGTAAAATATTTTGGCTTGCTCATGCCAATTCCATTTAATGGTCTGATTATGTCCTGTTTCCTGCAGATATAAAAAAGGTGGTGTGGGATCGGGATTCACTCATGTGGAGACCAATATGTACAACATTCAGCGTCTGCTCCACGTCAAAGGGACAAAACACGTGACCGCCAGAGAGGTGACCTACTGTACCAGACACCTCTAACTGCAATGCAAAATGACGATTTCTTCTAGTGAAGGCTAAGATCATGAATATTAAAAAGTTGATGCTTTCTTGGTAACCGAGCATATAGTCCCAAACCCTAATTAATAATCATGAGCCACCCCTTCCTCATAGAATATTTACAACCAGGCCAGCTGACAGTCTTGCCTGGGCCCGGGACAAGATAATCTTAGATGGGCCCCCCCACGCCCAGAAAACAAATAAAAAGCTTTTATGTAACTCAAATATTAGATTTTTTTCCACAAATATGCCTATTTTATTTATTTTTTAACAATTATTCCATAATTTAATGAGGGCCCAGTTGGATTAACATAGATGTTGTACTTGGTGAAAATCAAGTTCACCGTGATAAAGGAAAATATATTTTTATGTGAGCAAAAAAGCATAATATTAAAAGGATAACATGCAGTTTGAAAAATTAAATAATAGGCTTGTGTGTTGTCACTGCACTAAAGCTGAAGCAAATGGTTAAAATTCTAAATTCAATATAAATGAACTGTATATAAATACATTTTAAAAAATAATATACTGTGTATATATATATATATATATACTGTATATATATATATATATATATATATATATATATATATATATATACTGTATATATATATATAACTGTTTTTTTTTTCTTTTTGAGAGAGATAGAGAGAGAGAGACCCCAATTTGAAAACCCATGTTTTAACAGAACACTGCAGACAACCTTTTAAGCTTGAGTTGATTTATAAATGTGGTCAAAGCACAGATTTTCATATTGCAGACTAAGGGCCAACATTAAGAGTCTCTGTAAATGAAGCGGTCAGACTCAAAATGATTGAATTTAAAGTGTAAAAAGGTCAAGAATCTTGTCTCTGCATCGCTACTTGTCCTCATGCCTTCTGATGTTTCTCTTACTTGGCTCAGATCCTGGTCTTTTAGGTTGTCGATTTCAGAAAAAAACAGGAAGTGGTATTCAGAGCTGAACAGGACCTTTTTTATTTCTAGCCAGTACTGACTGAACTGAAAGGGAATTTTAGTGGGCTGTGTGTGTGTGTGTGTGTGCCTCTGCAGGTGGATGTTTCCTGGAGCAGTTTTAATCTAGGGGACATATTCCTTCTGGACTTGGGAAAAGCAATAATTCAATGGAACGGTCCTCAAAGCAATAGACAAGAAAAATTAAAGGTAATTGAAGTAACAGGGGAAGACACTGCGCTGGATGTCTAATAAAATGAGGAATTGATTGATTTCTATTGGGTTCCTCTCCTCTCCTGTCTTTTGTAGGCTGTTCTGTTGGCCCAGGACATCCGGGACCGAGAGCGTGGAGGCCGGGCTCAGATTGGTGTGATTGAGGGTGGGCAGGAAGAAGCCTCTGTTGACCTGATGAAGATCATGAAATCTGTTTTGGGTCAGAGGACTGTTAACCTGAAAGAAGCAATCCCTGATGACAAACCAGACCAAAACCAGAACTCTATCGTCAAACTCTACCAGTATGATCGATCTATCTATCTATCTATCTATCTATCTATCTATCTATCTATCTATCTATCTATCTATCTATCTATCTATCTATCTATCTATCTATCTATCTATCTATCTATCTATCTATCTATCTATCTATCTATCTATCTATCTATCTATGATCTATCTATCTATCTATCTATTTATCTATCTATCTATCTATCTATCTATCTATCTATCTAAATCAGAAAAAGTAATTTTGTAAAATGCAAAAAAATCAAGAATCTGTGATTTGTTCATTCTATTTAACCTTTTATTAGCTGACAAAAGTACAAAGAAACGTTTTCCAATGTTTTCACTGACCAACATAATTGTATTTTGTAAATATGAATAAATTTAGAATTTGATGGCTGCAACACACCCCAAAAAAGTTAGGACAGAGACCAAATAAAAGTGAAAAGATTATCCAAATTAGATTATCCAACTATTTTGAAAAAGTCCACAATGAGCAGGTGAATTGGTAATAGTTGAGGGTATCATGTTTGGGTGTAAAAGTGCTTCTCAGTCTTTTTAAGCAAAGATGGCTCATGGCCATCACTTTGTGCCAAATATCTTGAGAGAATTGTCAAACAATTAAAAAAATCACATTTCTCAATGCAAGATTGGAAAGCATTTATGCCTTTCATCATCTTCCATACATAATATTGTCACAAGATTCAGGGAATCCAGAGAAATCTCAGTCTGTGTTGGGTAAGGGAGGAGACCTCTATTGAATGTGCGTGACCTTTGAGCCCTCAGATGGCATTGCACAAGATACCATCATGCTACTTTGTCAAATACAGCCATATGTGCTCAGAAGTAATTTGGAAAACCATTTTCACTGAACACAGTCTGACGCTGCATCAAGAAATGCCACTTGAATCTCTGTTACGCAAGGAGAAAGCTTTACATCAGTTCTATGTGGAGATGCCGGCGAGTTCTCTGGGCTTGAGCTCATCGCAGATGGTCCAGAAGAAAGTGGAAATGTCTGCTCTGGTCAGATGAATCCATGTTTCAGGTTGTTTTTGGGAGAAAATGGAATCGAGTTCTCAGTCCCAAAGACGAAAGGGACCAACCCGACTTTCACCAGCGACAGGTGCAAAAGCAAACATCTGTCCTGGAATTGAGGTGCATCATTGCAAACGTTATGGGTAACTTGCATTATTGTGAAGGTACCATTGACATGGAGGCATATATTTGGATTATACAGAGACATAAACTGCCATCAAGATGACATCTTTCCTGGGAAGCAAGACAATGCCAGGCCTCATTCTGCACGTGCTACAACTGAGTGGTTTCTAGACACTCTGCACCATAGAAGGGATGTGCCTGGCTGTTTACTGCAGTCCAGATATGCAGTCCTTATGGAAAATGTATGACCCATCATGAAAAGGAGAATCAGGCAATGATGACCACAGACTGTTGAGCGGCTGTCTTATCAGACAAGATTGGGCAAATATTCCACTAGCAAAACTCCAACAATTAGTATCCTCAACTCCCAAATGATTAAAAAGTGCAATTAAAAGGAAAGGTGATGTGACACAGTGGTAAACATGTCTCTGTCACAACTTTTTTGGGGTGTGTTGCAGCCATCAAAATCAAAATTTGTTCATATTTACAAAATACAATTATGTTGGTCAATGAAAACATTGGAAAACTTTTCTTTGTACTTTTGTCTGTTAAAAAAAGGTTAAAAAAGAATGAACAAATAATAGATTCTTGATTTTATTGCATTTTACAAAATGTCCCAACTTTTTCTGATTTGGGGTTGTATCTATCTATCTATCTATCTATCTATCTATCTATCTATCTATCTATCTATCTATCTATCTATCTATCTATCTATCTATCTATCTATCTATCTATCTATCTATCTATCTTTCATCTATCTATCATCTGTCCGTCTGTCTGTCTAACAATCATCTGTCTATCTATCATCTGTCTGTTTATCTTTCATCTATCCATCTGTCTGTCTGTCTGTCTATCTATCTATGACCTGTCTACAGTATCTATTGCTATTTGTGATTATTTGATGTTTCTAATGATGATGTTGATAATTAATCGATCATTCAGAGCTAGGGTTTAATTATGTAACACTGTCCTTAATTAACATTCTATTCTATTATACTGTATTAACATTAATAATTCATTCTCAGTGTGTCTGATGCCAGTGGTCAGCTGTTGGTACAGGAAGTGGCTGCCAGTCCACTGACCCAGGATTTGCTTTGTTCCACGGTGAGACACATGATGTCTACCAAATCACTATACCAGTATCACTATACGACACACAACTAACTGTGGATTATGTTTTGTTTGCAGGATTGCTATTTTTTAGATCAAGGTGGCAACTCAATAATGGTCTGGAAGGGAAAAGGAGCATCAGACGAAGAGCGACGCTCGGCACTGAGTCGAGCGGTTGTAAGTATCTGTGTTTGCGAATTACCATTAATCTGCAAAGTAGTATTTTTTATTTTAAAAGGACCAAAATCACTTCTCAAATTGTGTCATAATTGGTGCACACGAATAATCGTCCCTCAGGGCTTTATAAAAGCAAAGAACTACCCGTCCAACACTAAAGTGGAAGTAATGAGTGAAGGAGGAGAGTCTGCCATGTTTAAACATCTCTTCAAGTCCTGGAAAGAAAAAAGTCAAACCCACGGCCTAGGAAAGATCCATGCAGTAGGAAAGATAGGTGATTCGTCATTCAGCATTATTTTTGTGAGAGTGTAGATGTTTCAGTATTGTCATTTTAGTAAATTCATCATAACGTGTTGTTTGTATACACATCTGTTATCGCAGCTAAAGTGGATCAGGTGAAGTTTGACGTAATGGAGCTTCACGCCCAGCCAAAGCTGGCTGCTCAGGAGCGGATGGTGGATGATGCTTCAGGACACGTTCAGGTATGGTGCTAGCCTGGGAAAACCCGGCAAATTTAGATTTGCTCTGAAAGTTAGTCTGGTAATTCAAGCCCATTTCCAATCCGTCGAAATCGAGGCACCGATCAGAAACGTTGGGGCGGGCTTTACACGATGACGACAGCGCTGGGATTTTGAAGCAGATTTTGTAGCCTACATTACAAAGATGGATGCCGCCGTCGAACATCACTCGTTCGAATCAGCTATTGCGTCTGTTTTAAGCGATTTGAACGTTTCCTTTTTGTTAAAAACCGAGCAAAGAACAACACTCGGAGATGTTTCTGCCGCTCTGCATACGTCATCTCCTTCATCGCTCTGATTGGGTTTAGGTCTATCCGCGACGTCCGTTGGTGACGCCCCTCTGGGAATGATTTGTCTATGATGACGCTTTGCCAGACCATAACTCAGTTATAACTGAGAATGGTCTGGTTTTAACCAGGCTAGTATGGTGCAATAATAATACCTGAATTCAGAAGTTTGGGCCTGCTGTCACACTGTTATCTCCACTGCTTTGTGTTCAGATTTGGCGGATTGAGAATCTTGAACTGAAGGAGGTGGACCGAAGCACTTATGGACAGTTCTATGGTGGAGACTGTTATCTAGTGCTGTACACTTACAACAGAGCCAACAAACCTCAGTACATCCTCTACATGTGGCAGGTGAGGAGCATAACGTACTCTGGGCCCTATCATACACCCGGTGCAATGTAGCGCCCTAAGTGCACTTGCACCGTGCGCTTTAGACCATGCACTTAGATTGTTAAAATAGGGCCCTCTATCTACAACTGTAATAATGTTATTTTATGTCATAATGAGGAGAAAACATATAACAGTCTGTAGAGCAACACAGTTACAGATCCAGTTACAGATCCAAGTTTGGACAATAAAATCACACTAATTAATTTCATTGCATTAGATAACAAAACATCACACTAAGTGGCATCCACAATCAAATAATACTGGAGATTTTCTTAAAGCTGCCTATTGGTCAGCTGATTTCAATTGAACGTCTCAGTCAGTTCCCCACACATATCAACTTTTTGTGAATCATTTTGCTGTAAAAGTGGGTTTGTGCTATATGTATTTCAAATAAATGGCACTTTAATATTTGTTATATAATGCAAAGACAGTCATAGGATGTCATTTTAGTATGACATAAATATTTTGAGCCACTGTATATAAAATACTATATGGCTACAGTAGAAAATAAACAATGCAGTATTTCTAAAGTTTGAACTCTACATAAATTATATTCACTCGGATTGACCTGTAAAACTAGACTTAGACTGTGTTATAATCTGGATCTACACATTGGAGACCCTATGACATGAAGCATGTGTTCTCCGCAGGGTCGCCATGCCACACAGGATGAGGTGACGGCATGCGCTTATCAAGCGGTGAATTTGGATAACAAATACAATGGAGCCCCAACACAGGTCAGAGTGGTCATGGGAAAAGAGCCCAGACACTTCCTGGCCATCTTTAAGGCCAGACTCATCATATTTGAGGTGATTGTCCCTTCATTCCAATGGAACATTTAGCTCTAAATTGTACATTATTTTATGATTTTATCACTTTTAGGATTCCAAATCAAATATTTATTTACTTGCTTACATATTCTGCCATAGGATTTATTTTAAATGAAATTATTCTTGCTTCTTTTGAGTAATCTATGAGTTTACTTTTTCTTAAAGTAACAATAATAACCATTATTACTGACATTATCAAACATTTTTACAATATGTAATCCTTAACAATCGTTAGTTATAAATAATTAGAACCGTCATTTTCATCTATATTCCTATTTGAATGAGCTACATTTATTATTGAGCATTTCTTTTGTCAGTGCTCTTGACCCACTGACGTGTTGATGCTTTCTTAGGGTGGGACAGGCAGACCGGGTGTTGTGAACCCTGACCCTGGTGCCCGGCTCTTTCAGGTCAGAGGAACACATGAGATGAACACCAAGGCAACAGAGGTGCCCGCCCGAGCTTCCTCTCTCAACACCAATGATGTATTTCTGTTCAAAACTCATCAGACTGTGTTCCTGTGGTATGGAAAGGTGAGTAAAAATACACAATAAATAAATAATAACTTTAAATAAATAAATAAATGTGTAAATAAATATACACTCAAACTAAAATGTGTGAAATTACAAGAAGCAATTATACTTCAGCAAAAATGTATTAATTACATTAAATATATAAATGAATTAATCATAATGAATAGAATGTAAATTCTTAAATATATATATATATATATATATTAATTAGAGCTGTCAAATCGATTAATCACAATTAATCGCATCTAACATGAAAGTTTGTAAATATAATATACTGTATACATATACAGTGTGTGTATGTGTATATACACACATATATTATATATTTACATACTTTTACGTTAGATGCGATTAATGGGTATTTATTGATTTGACAGAACTCTTAAATGTGTGTGTGTGTGTGTGTGTGTGTGTGGATCAGGTAATCCCTACGTTATGTGGACAAAGTGTCCCACCAAATTTGGCAATAGGCTATCCGAAATCCTTGTGGGGACATGTTTTGGTCCCAATGAGGTGTGTGTGTGTGTGTGTGTATGAGGAAAACAGCTAATCATTTTTTTTTTTTTTTTTTTTTGAAAATTGAAAAAATGCAGAATGTTTTCTGTGTGGGTTCAGGGTTGTGCTTAGGGTTAGGGGATGGAATATACAGTTTGTGCAGTATAAAAATCAATATGCCTATGGAAAGTCTCCATAAAGCATGAAAACCCAACGTGTGTGTGTGTGTGTGTGTGTGTGTGTGTGTTTATGTTTCCCACAGGGCTGCAGTGGAGATGAGAGGGAGATGGGGAAAGCAGTAGCTGATTTGCTTTCTGAGCAGGATAAGCAGAATGTGATGGAAGGACAGGAACCAGCTGCTTTCTGGGTGGCTTTGGGAGGGAAAGCTCCATATGCCAGTGACAAGAGGTACAACCAGAAAAACATGAGCTCATACTTTAACTCAACTCAGAGGACAGTTGATCGTTTCCACTGACTTTCTCTGTATCTCCCCCAGATTGGAGAAAGAAGTGGCACCTCACGATCCTCGTCTGTTTGAATGCTCCAATCAGACGGGCCGATTCCTCATGACAGAAGTGTCTGACTTCTCTCAGGACGATCTGGATGAGGATGATGTCATGCTATTAGACACCTGGGAGGAGGTGGGTTGTGTGAGGTCATGCTGTCGGCTTCTTTTGCATGCCGCTGGGGTGAAATGGCCGTGCCGTTCTGGGTTATGCAAAAGAAACAGAGAAAAATTACATCAAACAACAATTCCACTGTATGTTTTGAGTATTAAGTTACTCTAACCAAGGGGTTTTCAAACCGGGGAAGAAAAATTGTTAAAAAAAAGGAAAGTAGGAACAAAAAAGAATATATTTATATATATATATATATATATATATATATATATATTCATTTAATCCTTTGACTAAGCTTATTTTAATTTATTGACAGCTATGGTTTTATGTTAATACAAACTAGGCTAATTTATAAATAAATGGGTTTTTGCTAATTAAATTGTATAGCTGGCTTTATATAGGGGTCCTGTTTGAAGGGGTTGTCAAAATTGGGGGCTGTAGCATGAAAAAGTTTTGATGCTAAAACTCTTCTTCCTCAGATTTGCCTTTGGATTGGCAACTCAGCCAACCAGTACGAGATTCAGGAGTCCTATAGCAGTGCAGTGGACTATCTTAAAACCCACCCAGCAGGACGGGACCCTGGAACACCGATCTCCACTGTTAAACAAGGCTATGAGCCTCCTACCTTCACCGGCTGGTTTAATGCTTGGGATGCTCACAAGTGGAGCGTGAGTCGAGCAGGCTGAAGTTGCCCAGCAGGGGGCAGTAATGCACAACACAAAGTCACTAACAAACTAACAGAATCTCTCAATCCACATAATTGTTTGTTGATTCTCACTTAATTATCATCATCAACATGAAAGCAAAATGGACCCTTTTTACTTTCATAAGGAATTTTCCTGGTCTTTTTGTGCATGACTTTTTATTCTATGTCGATATTCCAAAATAGGCCTGTCACGATCACGAATTTTGCTGACTATTTATTGTCTTGCAATTAATGATTTAAATAGTTTTTTTTTTAAATTGGGTTTGTATATTATATAATAATAAATTATAATATTCTAGGCCTGAATGATTTACTTTATTATTGTGAAGAAAAAAACAATTATTTATATAATATAATATAAAATAATATAGTTGTGTTTTTGATGGCAACTTTAATAATAAATAATTTAACAAATAATAAATTGTGAGTAAATCGAATAACCACGATCAAACAAATAATTAATAATTGCAACAGGTCTAATTCCAAATAATGTTTTTATGAAAATAACTTGATCAGCCTCTGACACAACTTTCCTTTTCATTCACGCAGGCTATTCATTCATATTAACCGAAAGCCAATATTATACAAGCCAATTCCTTCTCAAAACTCTAGTAATAATAATAATAATAATATTGGAAAAATAATAGTTGAATATTATCATCATCATCATCATATTTAGAGAAGAAATTGGCTATTAAAAATAATAATAATTATTATTATTTTATATTATTATTGGTAGAAGTAGTAGGATATTATCACATTCAGGCCACGTTTACTTTTCACAATCCAACATATTCCTAATGGTTAACTTTAAATCAAATTCCGCCGCCTTTTCTCTGGTTGAATATTCAAATATTATGAAAGTAAAATTGGTTCCGAGTGCCATGTTATGTTGAGTTGAAATACTTTTTGTCCACCCTCACACCACATAATGAATTAATGTTACAAAGAGAGACACTTTTTCAGTTTCACTCTATATTGTAGGGAGGCCTTTCATATGAGGAGATGAAAAGCAAGCTGGGTGATATTTCGCAAATCACTGTGGTAAAAAGTTTTCACCTTACTGATCAAATACTTGTTCTTGATGTCAACAGATGCATTTGAATTGATTCATCTTATTTGATTAAATTGATTATCTAATTACATTTAGACATGGTCTACACACTTATGTGCAGATCTAAACATAATGTTGACCTCATTTCCTGTAGAATCTCAACAACACAGACCTGAATAAGAAGACAGGAGGAGGTGCGGGGAGCTACAGCGCTCCGGGAGGACCGGAGAATATAAGGTCCCATAACCAGCGGATGTCCTCTTCCATCTCCAATGCACATGCAGACCAGTCTCCCACCAGAGCAAAGCCTTTTGGGATGCACCATTCTGAGCTAGCTCAAACACCTAACGTTAACCAGCTGCGTCAAGGAGAGGACCCTGGAAAACGAGAGGTGGGTGCTGAAACATTTTTGGTTGGTATGATAAAGTCTACGATTTATCATGTGTTGGTAACATTTTTTCTCCTACACTGTCTTTATTTCAGGAATTTTTGACTGACGCAGAATTTGAGAATCTTCTCGGCTGCTGCCGTAATAATTTCCAGCGACTGCCTAAATGGCGTCAGAATGACCTTAAAAAGAAAGCAGGACTGTTTTGATTTTATTTTACTATAATGAGTTAAGTTGGGTCTTAAATGACTCACTATGCACCTATACACTATGTACTTATGCAATATGTATTGGTTATTTTGTCATTCAACGTCAGAGTCTGACGCCCCTCCCCCTCTGCTGACGTAATTAAAGTTGCAAAAGTTGAGTGCACGAGGTGTCTAACATTCCACTTCATTTAGTGCATTATCCGGGTATTTAAAGTGCACTTTTTCTTTTTTAAATTTTCATTGTGAATACACTACTCGCCCTATTTATACTTAAAAACGTCAGAGTAGTGCATAAGCACACAAATTGGGACGCACCTATAAATTCTGATCTTCAGACAAGATTAATGTGCTTCTTGGGTATTTTTGGGCTAGAAGACTGTAACCTATGCACTGTTATAGATTTATTTATTCATCAAAGAAATGTTTCGACACATTAAAAGTGAACATTTGAGGTATAAGACCTAATAGAAATGCTTTGTAAATGTCTTGCACACAAATGATACACCACCAAAATGATGGATTCTGATATTATCAGTCACGTTCAGCATGTCTAAATGCCTTTTAGTACTAATAAAAACAAGACTGTATGGCAAGAAATGTTTTTGAGATGTTTAATTCAGTTTTTAATGAATGTAATGGTTTATCACAGCATTTTAGAGTCAGTAAAGCCATTTCTTTCCTGTTAGGAGGACGTCAGAACAGGACATGAGAAACAGATGTTGTTATGGCTTAATATTACTGATGTAACAACTTTCCTATAAGGCACATTAGTTCAAGAACAACATAAAAATAGAAATATTTCTAGAGCAGATAAAAAGCAATAATACCTCACACCAACAACAACGAATACAAAATAAACACCTTAAAAATATAAAAGACACCTAGGTAAATGTATAACTTTTTTCCATTCTTTTATGTTATACACACGTGTAGTGCAACACTCCGACTGCTCTGATATGATAACTAGACACACACCTGCTGTTCAGATTCTCATAACATGATTATGAACATTAGCTGAACATATTTATCAGAAAATAATGGATAGCATGTATTGGTAATATGTGGTAAATGGTTAGTTTGTATCCTGAGTTCACATAAAGAACATGTTGTATTAAAACTGAGCATTAGCCATTGTAAGCCACTTTAAAAAAATATTGACCACACAGTAATAAACAAAATTATTACAGTTTAACACATTTCACACAACACTGAACACATGGGTGCTATTGTTAAGATTAAATCTCCTCTTTACGGGTACGTTTACAAGACAACGATGAACTAAAAATGGAAAAGTTTTTGCTTTGTGTTTTTTTCTGCATACAGGCGACGTTTTCAAAACGATCCCCGTTCACACGGATCCGCGAAAACGATTAAAAGCGCTGTATTATTCTGCCAGCCCAGTTGTTGGCGATGCCACTTTGTAAAAAAAATACTACGCACCTAGACTAAAGTCGTAATGCGCATGACGTCACCGTTTTCACAAATTCGTGTTTTTTTTGGTTAACACAGAGACAATAACAATATTGTTTTCAAAAACACAGATTTTGAAACCCATTTTTAAAAGTTTGCGTTTTCAGGCCCCAAAAATGCCGTTGTCATGTAGATGAAAATAAAAAGTTTTCCATTTTTAGTTGAAAATGGTGTTGTGTAAATCATAGATATGTATATATATATATTATGATATAGATATCTATGGTGTAAAAGGCACCTAAGATATAATTTTGACTAAAATAAAGGGCTTTTACACTTTTTATGCCTTAACTTTTTTAACTTTTGAATGTGGGTTTCAAAGTGCAAGTTTTTGAAAATGATACTTTTATCGTCTCCGTGTAAACTACAAAAACGTGAATTTGTCATGCGCATGCACAATCCGTGTTCAGTATATAGGCGTGTAGTGTTTCTTTACAAAGTGACATCGCCAACTACTGGCCTGACATCCATAATCCAGCATTTTTGCAGATTCGTGTGAATCATATCTGAATCATCATATCTGTACGTGAAAAAGACGGTTTAGTTTTTAGTACATAAGACTTCTAGGTGATGTTTAGCCAAGAACACAATTTCATTGATAATTCGATAGAAATAATATACAAACACTGTTGAAATACTCTGTTACTGTAATGTAAAAGGCATCAGTGTAGTATATTTTTGAATACATACTTTTTAATATTAAAACATAAGAGTGTTAGGTAAAATATATTGTCCAATTACAAATCTTTGACAGTAAACTGTTTTGAATGAGTTTTTTGGTGATAAACACACTACTGATTCAGACAGGAAAGAGACTGTAACATGTTTACTTTTTTACTAAACTGCTTTAAACTTTTAACATTTTCTGCACTGACTGTAGGGTAAAATCTGTGTAAATCTCCAAAATTGACTTCAATATGGTAAAATTGAGCTGAAAGTACTACTTTCTTAATGTTAGCCAAAGGCAAAAAATAAAAATTAGTTAAATAAAATATTACATTTTTAATTTTTCTAATTCACTTAAAATATATAAAAAAATATTTTATATTTTAAAATATATAAAATAGACTACATAACTATTAATATTTAAATTATTGATAATATATTTTTAAACAATATTTATCGAAGGCAACAAAAAGAAAAGACATGGGGAATGTGTAGAATGTTGAGTGTGCTTAAATATAAAAAATTTTTGGCTGCAGGTTCAACAAAGGCCTAACAAAGACTTTTTACCCCACCTTCTAAATTGAACCACACCTGCTAATTCCACGAAGGACTTAAGGGTACATCTTGGTACTCATATAGTGAGGAGGGCTAATTGGTAAACCGCAAGGCGCATCGGAAAAGGAAGTCCCAATCTTATCCTAAAAAGTGTTCGCATAGGAGTTTAGTTGATTGTCCTTTTCAGTGATCTGCACACTTTGACATTGAGATGACTGAGAGGAACGTTGCAGTCTCTTAAGCATCTATAACCATGGTGTGTACAAACAGTCCCGCTGAAGGAATGAGGCTTCCTCTCTTTGTGAGCAGAGGCACATGCCGGTATCCTGAAGACAGAATATAGGACTTATGGTGAGCAAATTCATAATAACTGCACAACAGAAAGTCATTTCTCACTTATTTTTTACCGGCTCACCATTCTGCATGCTGGTGAAGGGGACAGTGTACAGGCCGACCAAATCATTCTGTTTAGCAACATCATGGTCCTCCACCACAAACCGCACCAAAGCCAGTTCAGGCACATGAACAGTGAACTGGAATTTTGCATTCCACATAGGATTGAAACCTGTAACAAAAAAAAAAAACATTTAAGTGACCTAAACTTTGGTTAAAAAAAAGAATAAAAAAGTGTTTGGTAAATGCGTAAATGTAAATGCACTGTTGACACTTGCCATTGTTTTCAATGTGATGCGTCTGTTTGCTGGCATTGTCATCTGGCACACCGTAGATCTCCACTCTGACGTGAGGGTCCACAATGGACCTCTGATTGTCCTTATTGATCTTAGGCAGCTGCTGGGCTGAGATGATCTGAACAGACAAATAGAGTAATTGGGCACTGTGTTTGGATTCGTTTCGATAGGATTGCATTTGGTTTAGGAATCAAGGATATATCAGTGTCATATCAGTAAGGGTTTAATTCATCCGTATCAGTCAATATTGGATAATCGTTCATCCTCATTTCCCCCATTTTTACGTTATCTTTGCCATCACCGACACTCACTTAAAGTTAATCTGTAAAAACACTAATTTAATAACAATGTTAAGGGTAATCTTATTCTAAATAGCAAATCTCAAAATGTATATTCATTTTAATTATTTTACATTATAATGTTGTGATGCCTAAATTTACTTGTAGCATTTAAAATCATTGTTTTTTTGGTGTTTCATTTTTAATATTTTTTTTAAATGCATTTATTATTTTAAAAATACATTTTTATAAATATTTGATTTTAAGTCTTTTTTAACTAACTAATTTATTAATGATTTATTGTATTAGGCAGAATAATCCCAATTTTATTTTCTTATTATTTTCTTGCAGTGCAAAATAGAAGAATCTCACCATGATATGCAGGGTCTTCTTCTTCAGCCAGGGGCCTACACTGAGTTTCACGGGGTCAAACTGGGAGCCCGGGTCCCTCAGAAACTCTGGCTTCAGTATGTAGCCACACTTGCCATTAGGATAAAAGAGGGCCTGGTTCAGATCCATCTCTTTACAGGGAGTCTGGAAGTTTAGAGCCACTGTAAACCAATTTGAGGGATAAAAACAGATTAATATTATAAACAGACTTTCTGAATTGAATTAGACTCATATTGTGTCATATCACAGTGGGCTTTGCACCTATTTGGCAGCCGGCGTTCCACAAGGGCACCGGATTGTAGTTGGACGAATTGGTTCTGCTGCCGGCTGGGTAGATTCTGCTCAGTTTATCCATGTTGTGATGAATAAATCCCGTAGCTTTAAGACATTAGCCAGAGAAATGTGATATTACATCTGACAACATCACTCATATTTTAGGAAAAATTGCTTTTTTGGTTTCAAGTCCTATAGAGCGCTGCAGTGATTTATATTTTTGTAAGCCAACCCGGAGGTTAGCATCATACTGGTTCCCTCCACAAAAACCCAATAGAGTATTTGGATTATTGCAGAAAATAATCTCAAAGAACAACAAAAGTTTGATTCTTACATGTTTTTTTTTTCTTTAGGATAATCTTCACAAAATAACTGCAATGAACTTTGAAGCCTAAATAGAATTGCCTGAAGTAACAGGCAATAGGCTATAAAAAAAAACACACAACAGATGAATGACTTCAATGTAACGGTGGTCGTTAATAAAAAACAATAAAATTCCATCATTAAAGGGGTACCTCACTGGGCTTTCAAAAAAATGTGGCTACCTATACAGTAGAAAGTCGAAAATGTTATTAAAATTGGTGCTACCTGACTAGAGAAAACAGAGTAAAAAGGCTGTTGTCTTCCCAGTTGTCAAAAACTTCAACATCCATAATGCACTGGGCATGTTGCCATCCAAGGCCACTCCTACCA